GGCATGGTGTCTCCAAAATATACAAGACTTCTATTTACCCAGGAAAGGTCAAACTTCTTGCTGTGGGGTCTTGCTGAGGAGAAGTGGGAGTGAGGGGAGAAGACTGTGGGAGCCACCTGCAGCCCTTTTGGAACCTTCTGAGGAGGCTGCCCTTCGCACTTTCTCAGGTGTCTCCTATTCTAGACTTTGGTCAACTAGCAACACAGGAGAGTGCTGAGAAGACAATATGCTAATGAATAAGCAGCTGATTACTGTATGAGACCACACGCTTTTATTTTTCTTCTAAATACACTTGTATTCATTCCTTTGTATTTAAAGCAAGCAAAATGGCAACAGACACTCAAGTTTTCTCCACTGTCCATTGATACACAGTAATCATCTCAAATAAGTTAACTGGATCTAGCATTTCCTTCTTTTCACTCCTTAAAGCTTCTCTCATTTTAAACTTAGGAATCATTCATTTCTTTTCTTTCTTCTTTTTTTTTTTTTGAACACAAGTTTTATTTGGGAAGAGTTTCTAATAGTTAAAGTTGCAAGCAATTTCCTTTTTTTATTGAGAAAACCACTCTCCCAAAGGCTGGATGGAAAAGTGTGTGGTTGGGCCTCCTTAGCCGGTGAATGAAGTAGTTGGTCTGGTGGCTTGAATTAACCCCGGAGGGACAATTCAAAGTTGGAGGGAGTGAGGGTTGTTTGAGGGGAACTTGGGATTTTGTAGATGAAGGTGGATAGTGCTACAGGTAGAAACTAGATGAAAATGAGGGAAACATTTCTGATATACATGAAGCCACAGAGGGCAATGGGATGGGGGAGGAGTATAGAGTTGTCCAGAACCTTGCTCCTGCATCTCGCTCCATGCATGCTTTCATCACCTCCACCTGGAGCACCAACCTTCCTCATCCACTGGGGATGGAGAGAGAGTGATTGCAGGGACTATCTAAGCAAGTGTGAAGTCCATAGGGTGGGCAGTCAGGAAGAGAAGATCACGGGCAGGCGGACATCCGTGCGCAAGGTGGAAGCTGTCGTCCCCTGGCTCATGAGTAGGCTGGACCTCTGTAGGCACTGCCAGAGTTGTCTATGGTCCATGGATGGCACTTCTGCCCTCCAAGCCTGCTGGTTCAGTGAATACAGGACTTGCGAGGCATGTGAGTATGGCGGGAGTGGGGGGAGACCTTGGACCAAATGTCAGGAGACCTAGGCTTGGCTGGCCTCCCATGTCCTGTGACACATTCACCTTTTAGAGTTTTAGTTTTCTCCTCTCATAGGAGAGGTGATAGATTGAATGGTTTCTTTCAACAAACTTTGTAAGTCTGAGAATTTTGTATAATTGAGCTTGGGGTATTTGCATTTGGGCAGAGGAAAGACAGCAGTGTGATCTGTATGAAGGTGCCAAGACCCTCTGATGGACAGTTGAGAAAGGCCCTTGTTTTCACTTAAAAAAATTTTTTTATTTATTGATTTTGGTTGGGGGTGGGGAGGGGAGGGAGAGAGAGAGAGAGAAAGAGAAACATCAAGTTGTCGTTCCACGTATTTATGCATTCATTGGTTGATTCCTGTTTGTGCCCTGACAAGACATTGAACTTTGGCATATTGGGATGACTCTAACCAGCTGAGCTACCCAGGCAGATGAAAGGCCCTTGTTTTCAAAGTAGTGACTGAAGAAGGAGAGAAAGCAAGAATTTCAAGGCTCATGAGCGAAGGCTCATCTGTAGATATGGTCCTGGAGAGTCGGGGAGGAGACAGGGAGCAGGGCCAGGACTGGGGCAGGAGGGCGGCCCTCCATCTGAATCACCAGGGTAAAAATGCAGACCCCAGGGCCCCCATTCAGAGGATATATGCTTCAGTTGGTTTGAGACAGAACACTGGCAGATGGGAACAGAAGGGTACAAAATTTAAGAAGGCATCACTCTGAGGTTATTCATGAGTCAACCTTCCACTAGTGAATGCCTCCTTAAATTTTGCATACTAGGCTCCTGCTGTCTCAGCCTAGAGGTAAGTATTTTGTTCAAACCAGGCAAATGACCAGGGAAACCCAGAATTGTTCATTTGGGATGGAAGGAATAGCAGAAAGAGAATAGACTTCTTGGATAGCCAGGCAGAGAAGGATGGCCACAAAGAGGCCAGCATTAGTTTACCTAGAATATACTCTTCAAAAATCAGCCTTATTAAGTCATAATTGACAAAAAAGATTGTAAAAAATTTCATGTGTGTATCATGATTTGATATCTGTATACATTGTGAAAGGATTCTTCCCACTTTGTTCATTGACACACCCATCACCTCACATATTTATTTTTTGGGGAGAGTGAGAACATTTAAGTTCTATTCTCAGCAAATTTCAATTATACATTATACATTATAGTGTTATAAACTATAGTCACCATGTGATGACTTATATGAATTATAAGATGAATAATATTCTCAGACACTATTCATCTTGTAATAGAAAACTTGTGCCCTTTTACCAACCTCTCCCTATTTTCCACACACCCCAACCCCTGGCAATAACTTTTCACTCTGTTTCTGTGAGTTTGACTTTTTATTTAGGTCCCACATATAAGTGATATCATACAGTATTTGTTTCTCTCTCTTTGCTTATGTCACTTAGCATAATGTCCTCAAGACCCATTCATGTTGTCGCAAATGGAAAGATTTCTTACTTTTTCATATATCTATATATAGATATACACATGCACACACATCTATGAAGATTTACATATATCTACAAATAGATGTACGTATATATCCATATATAGATATATATGTATATATTTATGTTTTGGTGGAGGATAAAAACAGTGTGATATGTCTGAATATTATATATATATACACACACACACACACACACACACACACATACATACACACATATATACATATATATGTATATATTCCACATTTTCATTATCCCTTTATCCATTGATAGACACTTAAGTTGCTTCCGTAACTTGGCTCTTGTGAATAATGCTGCAGTGAACATGGGAGTATAGATATCTCTTCAATATTCTGTTCTCATTTTTTTAAAATATGTATTTAAAAGTAGGATTGCTAGGTCATATGGTAGTTCTATTTTTAATTTTTTTGAGGAACCTCCATACTGCTTTTTACATTCCCACTAACAGTGCACAAAGCTGCTTTTTACTCCGTATCATTCTCCCCAACACTTGCCTATTGTCTTTATGATGATTGTCATTCTAACAATTGTAAGGCTATGTCTCAATGTAGTTTCATTTTGCATTTCCCTGATAATTAATAGTGTTGAGCACCTTTTCATATACATGTTGGCCATTTCTACATCTTCTTTGGAAAAATGCCTATTTGGATACTCTGTCAATTTTAAACTGGATTATTATTATTTTTTGCTATTGAGTTATGAATTCTTTATATATTTTTATATATTAACTCCTTATCAGATATATTACTTGCATACCATTCCATACATTGCCTTTTTATCTTGTTGATGGTTTTCTTTGCTGTGCAGTAGCTTTTTATTTGTTTATTTTTGCTTTTGTTGCCTTTGCTATTGATGCCAAGATTGATATGAAGGTGCATAGCCCCTGTGTTTTCTTCTAGAGATTTTTAGTTTCACATCTTAAATGTATGTCTTTAATCTATTTTGAGGTGATTTTTGTGTATGGTATAAAGTAGGGGTCCAATTTTATTCTTTTGCATATAGCTGTCCAGCTTTTCCAACACCATTTATTAAATAGGCTGTCCTTTCCCCATTGTATATACTTGGCTCCTCTGTCATAAATCAATTTACCATGGATTTATTTCTGGGCTCTCAATTCTGTTTAATTGATCCAAGTGTATGCTTTTATGACAATATAATACCATTTTGATTACTATAGTTTTGTAATATAGTATAGTTTGAAGTCAGGGAGTGTGAAGCCTCCAGCTTTGCTTTTTTCTCAAGATTGCTTTGGCTATTTGGGGCCTTTTTTATTTTTATTTTTAAGTATCTTGTACTATTTTAAAAAAATTAATTTATTTTTAAATACAGTTGACATATAATATTAGTTTCAGGTGTACAACATAGTGATTAGACATTTATATAACTTACATTTATATAACATTCAATCACCCTAAGACTAAGGGTTTCATATTCAATATCTCATTTAATTCCAACATCAACCCTAGAGGTAGATACTATTATCCTATCTTTACAGGTGGGGCTAAGTAAGGGATGTGGCGGAATTGGGATTGGATGAAGGCCTGACTCTGAAGCCCATATTCTTAACAGTCCCACCCGAGGTTCTATGAGAGGTAATTAGAGAAGGAGGAGCCACACAAGCCTTTCCCTTCCCTGGGACCTGTTCTGCCTCTTTGACTAAAGGACATGGCTCCCAGGTGTGTTCAGCTCATCCTGGGCTCAGCTGAGCCACCTTGTGCTTTGAAGCAACATAGCACTAAGTGCTTCTATAGTCACTGGCCCTTAGGGCAGCTGGGCTGAGAGGCTCTATTTCCTTGGCATTGGGGTGGCAGTTGCAGCCCAGGTGACAAAAATCTTTATTATCATCCCAATTCCAGCATGGTGACAACCCCAGACCGCTGGGAAAGCCAGTGCACACAGAAACGAGATGTTATCCAGAGGGCTCAGAAACATTTCAACAAATGCTAATATTAGCCTCTCCAATACAACCCTGTCAGCAGGAACAGGGAATTTTGCTAGCTTGCATGAGGTACACTTTTTGGCACAAGGCACCTGATTGCTAAGCAACAGTAGCTGGCCTCCCCTCCTCCCTCTAACCTTTTTCTGTTTCTAAGCTTCCAAGTTAGCAGATGGGAGGGACTGAGCCTGCCCAGCCCAGGCCAGCCCTTGGCCCCCTTTCCTGCAACAAGGGGTCTATTCATGGTTTCTGAGCAGAGTTCATTGTCTCTCTGGCTTGTGTCTGTGTGTGTGTGTGTGGAGGGGGATAAAAGGAGGGGCCATTGTGTGAACTAGGGAGACCTCACCCTCCAGCCAAGCTGGCTGAGCTATTTAATAAATGCTGTTCCAAGAACAGGACCAGAACTTTCCCTAGCAGACCTTGAGGCTTTTCATCTCTACCACTCACCCATATGGTAAGGCTATACCTCTGCACCATCCCTGATCTGGCATCTTGCTCCTTCTACCCCACCCCCACCCCCCTTGGGATTCATGGCTGGCAGAAAGAGCCTCCTCTGGCAGCTCTGGTCCAGGGGCTACGTTCTAGACGGGGTCCTGTGTGGCCAACCTATTGGTTTTGTTATTTACAGCAGTTGACTTTTATACTCTCTTTTCCTGAAATACCCAATGCCCATATGTGTCAGGTAAAACCCTAGTCATCTATAAGGGCCTGTGTCAGAGGCTGCCTCTTCTAGGAGGCCTTTTCCGGTGTGCTCAAAGAAAGGCAAACTCTCTTTCTTCTGAATGCCAATGGGAGTTTACCTAAACTTTACTTCTGTCACTTAAGGTGGACCGCTTTGTTTACATGACTCATCTTAAGGAATGAAATGCAAATTCTTTTAGGTAGTTGTGCTGGAGGTCCATGTTACTTTTTCCTGTACTCCTTACTGTATTCACCACATGGCCTGTTCACTGGGGCTAAATACTCCTCACTGAATGAATGGATGGCCAGTGCACTGGGGAGGGGCCTTTCTTCCTATGAGACAGGAGGGAAAGAAGATGAGTGGGGTCTTGATGCCTAAGGAGGGATGCTGAGGGAATCAGCAGATGCCCTCCATGCTCTGTGTGGGTGGTGAAGAGCATAAGCTTTGGCATCAACTCAGTCTGGATCAAGGCTCTGCTGTGGCACTCCCTGGCTGTGTGAGTAAGGTGGGTAGGGTTGGGGCTCTAGGAGAGGAGGGAGGGCCTGGAGGGGCATCCGTAGGAACACATGGGAAGTCCCCGAGGTGGAAGAAGGCTTGCCAGGGGGAGTGAGGGTGCAGCTGATGTCAGAGGGTGGCTCTCTGTGGTGTGGGGACCTTGAGTGACTGTTAACTGTTTCCCCACAGCCTGATGCAGGGTGGCCAAGCCCCCATGGAGGCTGGGTATGTGGAGGATGGCCCAGGACCCAGGACCTTCAGAGCAGAGCTGGGAGACTCACCGCAGAGGCCTGATGCCCAGCAACGACCCTGTAGGCCAGACTGGGCAGTAGGGGAATGACAGGGTGGGGACAGTGAAGGGATAATTTTCCTACACCCCACACCCCCAGATTCTCTTCTTCCTTAGATATTCCTTGAATCAGCCCTAAAGGATGGATAGCAAGAGGCCATCTTGCTATTTGGAGTGGGCATTTATCCCAGACCTGATTTTGATCACTGTTTCCCATTTTGGGGATTGAGTGGGCTCTGTGGGATTCAGGACTGATGGGGTAGGGGGAGGTGGGCAGGTGCCGTGGAACAAAGTCCCACTCCTGCTGCAGCTCAGTGACTGTGTAACCTCGTGGTGGTACCTCAGGGTGAGGTGAGGCTGGCGGGCAGGAGCTGGGCACCAGACACTGCTCTGCCCTCCCCCAGTCTCTTGGACAGGACGCTGGTGTTCCACGCGGTGTGGCTGTGTGGTGCTGGGAGCGCTGGGGCTGTTGGCTGGTGTGAGTGTCGGCTCATGGCTTCTAGGTCAGTGCTGGGCCCTTCTGAGGTCTGGGAGGGACAGAGTGCAGGGTCTGGGGGTGCTGGGAGAGAAGAACAGATGTGAGCATGTGTTAAGGCAGATAGACAAGCATCTTTCTCATGTGCTCTGGGTGCAAGGTATTGGAATGGGTAGTCCAGGGAGGCCCTGCTCAAACTCTTTCTAGAAATCTTTCCCAGGCAGAGACAGAGGGTGCTGTGCCTCTCAGCAGCATGTTAGGTGGGGACCTGCCTAAGGCAGGGCGGTTGACAAGGAATCCCTGGGCAGCTGCTTGCCTCCTCAGCCACAAGTGTCTTGTTATGCCCCTGCCTCCTCCTATGGGGATCCTTCCGTTCTCTGTGACCCTCTCCTTGTCCTTTTCCTTGTCCTTGTCCTCTGAAGGGCTCTATCTGTGGCCAGCTGCCTCTCAGCCCACTCCCGGGACCTTGCAGGAGGAGGAGATGACTTTGAGCTGTTCAGAGGCCCCTGGAGAGGAAGCCCTGCTCCCCTCGCTTCCCAGAACAGGTGGGCCAGACCCCCAAGGCTACAAGACTCCCACCCCAGCCTTGGGCCCGTCACAGCTCTGGGACCCCACTCCAGGCTAGGGGCAAGAGGACCAAAACGAAGGGCTGTGACTTCACTGCCACCCATCTGAGTCTCCTCCAGTGTGAGGGCGGTGACCCGGTCCCCCCTCACACTGGAGGAGCTGATCTCTGATTGGGGCTTTCAGCACTCCCCAGGGACCGCCTTGATCTCTAGCTGGGTCATGGCCAGGAACCAAGGCTGGCTAGAGAGACAGCAACTTGACATTCAGGGCAGAGTGCACCAGAAGTGGAAGGAAAGAGGAGCCAGCTGTGTGAGGAGATGGCTTGTGACCGGCAGGGGTCTTCGCCCAGTGGCCCCCTGGAGGGCTGGCACCATCACTGCACATTGCCTCCCGCTTTCCCCTAGCATGTCCTCTCTTGGTGCAAGCTGAGGATCAGTATGGGGTCAGAATCAGTTATGGAAGTTAGAATTAGCTTGGAGCCTACCTTTTGGTAGTTGTGTGACTTTGGGCACATTACTTCTTTGAGCTTCCAGTTCCTTCTTTATGAAATGGAGACAAAAATATTTACTACATGAAGCTGTAAAGATCATATGACCTAATAAATAAGAGCTTAGCACAAAGCCTGGAAAAAACAGATGCTCAGTAAATGGTAACCATCACTAGTATTATCACAAGGCTTGAAATCAGATGACAGGGACTTGGTCCTGGATCTAGTAGTCGCAGATTCTGTAACCTTGGGCTGGTCACTTAGCCTCTGTGCCTTAGTTTTCCTTCTGCAATATGGGAGGATGGTGATACTCATCCCGCAGGACTGCCATGACACTGAGTGATGGAACACATTTAAAAAGAAAGTTGAAATGCTGCAAAAATAGGGTTATTTTGTTCTCAGAACTGACCTGATATGGGGAGCAGGGAGCCTGCACTGGGTGGCCCAGACACTATCACTAAGTCCTCTTCAGATCAACAGTGGCCAAGCCCAGCTGCCCCTGCCCACCCCACGCCTCTCCCCATAGCAGGTGGGATGTGGATTTTATGCCATGTTTCAGTCTCTTTCAGAATAAACACTGAGGACTTCTTGCTGGAAGTACAAGTGAGGGCCCGGCCAGGCTGGCTCCTGGCCTGCCACGAGGGCTGGAGCTCTGCCCTGGGGGTGCGGATCTGCCGGAGCCTTGGGCATCTCAGGTAACTGGGGCCGGGCCTGGGGCCTGGGGAAGGCGGGGAGCTGGCTGGCAGTTGGACACCTCTCTCTGTATGCGGTGTTCAAAGTGCTCAGGAAATGGCAGGAGGTCATTTTGGTCATCTCCGGGCCTCTGGGCAGGATGGTAGCCCACCTTGTATCTCTCCCTTGAGCATCTCTGCTTTTTAACAAACATAAATCCCAGAAGAGTTCATTGTCACAGCCTTGCTCCGTCACCACCCTGGTGCAGTATCTTGTGCACATTCCAGCTATTACCCCCACCCCTCATGCTGCACTTTGAGGCTGATTTCCTCCTGTTCTGTTCTCTTCTTCTGCCAAGACTCACTCACCACAAAGGAGTGAACCTATCTGATATCAAGCTCAACAGCTCCCAGGAGTTTGCTCAGCTTTCTCCTAGACTGGGAGGCCTCCTGGAGGAGAGGTGGCAGCCCAGGTAGGGCTCCTGAGGAGGGTGAGTGGGGCCCCTTGCTTCCTGGTGAGCAGTCTAGCAAAAACCTTCCTGTCATGGGAGCCTGGGGGCGAGGACATTGACCGTGTAAGATAGGACAAAGGGAAACATTTCCCAGTCAGAAATTACAGGTTTAGTTCCATGAGCCTGCCCATCCAAGTTTCACATATGTTATCTTACTTGCCCCTCACAAGAACTGCACGATGGGTTGTTAGTGTTACCGGATTTCACATGGCACTCTTATTCCCACTTTACAGGTGGGGAAATGAGGCATCATAAGGTAAAGGGCCTTGTACAAGGTCATAGAACTAGTAAACAGCCAGACCAAGTCTTGAAACCAGGCTCCTGTCTCCAACCTGAGTGCTCTCACATCCCCGCCACATTTTATTCGGATATCTCTGGTGTCTCAGGAAAGAGATAGTTGACTTGCTGTAGCTAAGAACTGCTTGGAGCCTGGAGACCCTCCAGAGAAGAGAGCTGTGGGATGGAGCAGGCCCTGCCCCAAATCCTGGGGGTGGGCCCATGCTGAAAGGGTCTTCACTTGGCTTGGGCTTCCTCTAGCTGCCCAGCAGCTTCCTGGGCTGGCTGGCTGAGCATCGCTCACCACTTTAAAGCCTCCTACCCGTGTACCTCCTTTTCCTAATGCTTCCTTATTTTAGACACCTGAACAGGCAAAGGGAAGTAGGGTGGGACTGACTCGGCTAGGGGTGAAGGAGGGCTGTGGGTTGGGGAAACTAGAAGAAACTAAGGATCCAGGCATTGGGCTGCTGGTGGTAAAAGATGAGTGAAGAAATAGGAGAGAATTTAAGTCTAAAAGGAAATGAGGTTTATGCTAAGGAAAGGAGGGGAAAGAAGAGAGCAAGGATGTGGATATGCAAGGCCGGGGAAAGGGCCTGGGGTGGAGGCTAGGGTAAGTCTAGGAACGAACGAGCACGGGTGAGGAGACCCGTTCGGTCACTATGCACCTATTCATCCACCGTGTACGCATACTCAGAGTTCCTTAGAGGGAACAGCTGGGCATTCTCACTTATGAATACTTGACTGTAACCTTAGGCCCTGCCCACATCAGTCCTCGAGGACCACAAAGTTCTGTTGATGCTCTGGGGCAGTCAAGCACTGTGCACACTGCTGTTCTGGAGACCTGTTAGGAGAAGGGGCTGGGGGCTTGGGTAAGGGTGGGCAGCAGATGGCTATGGCTACATGAGAGGCCCCCTCTGACCCCACCCTTCCTCTACCCCCTCGGGTGGATGCTGAGCCTCGAGTGGGCCCCTGCCTGGTTTCTTGCTGGTGCCTCTGTTTTGCAGGGACAACTGTACTTCTGGCCAAATCATTTCACTCAAGTGCTCTGGTGAGTCACGTCTTGGATCTAGGAAGGTCATGATGGGAGAAGGAGTCTCTCTCCACCCCACCCTGCCCTGCATATGGCAGAGCCCCATAGAAAAGCTCAGCTGGGTCTGGGGTAGGGTTCCTTATCCACCTGCCCATCTGCCTGCTGGACACTTTCTTGAAGACAAAGTTCAGCCCAAAAAGAGCCCTAAGTCCCTGCCATGATCTCCTTGCTTCACCTGCTTTGGCCTCTGATACTCACTCCCCTTTCTTCTGGAGAGCCCAAAAGCTAGGATTATTATTGACTGTTAACCAGTTAGCAGCTTCAGGAGACAAAGGAGGGTAGTGGACCCTAGGGGCCAAAAGGGAGACATCTGTGCATTTTATTGCATCTGTCTTCCATGCACCTGTCCATCTCTTCATTGGTCCTTCCACGTACCCATCCATACATCCACATTTTGACAGGTGTTTTGTTAGGTATTGGGGCTCCATAGATAACACAGCCAGAGTCCCTGCTCGCAGCAGGCTCATGGCCTGAGGGGGCCGGCAGATGTATTATTAACATTTCTACTTTCCAGTTCCCCATACTCAGGACCAGAAATAGTAAATGAAAGCTATCCACACTGGGCCACACTCCCTGAGAGTTAGGACCATGTTGACATCAGCTGTCTTTCTTTCCACCTCACTGGTGCTTCTCTGTTTGCAGAGTGTGGGGCAAGGCCTCTGGCTTCCCGGATAGTTGGTGGGCAGGCCGTGGCTCCTGGGCGCTGGCCCTGGCAGGCCAGTGTGGCCCTGGGCTCCCGGCACACGTGCGGGGGCTCGGTGCTGGCACCGCACTGGGTGGTGACCGCTGCGCACTGCATGCACAGGCAAGTCTCGGGGGCTTCCGGGGAGGGCAGTTCCTCGGTTACCTTTCTGTTTGCCCCGTGATACATCGTGTATAAAATGTCCATGTCCAACTCTCTGCCTCCCCATGTCCACTCTGAATGGGCACAATGACATTTGTGATATTTTCTCTCTTCAGTGCCAAGCACAGCTCTGCACAAATAGCAGTAATGACACAAACACCAGTTCTTTATATTTGTTCAGCTTTTAAGTTTTTAAAATGCTGTCACACTCATGGCAGTCTGCTTCTTAATGTTTCTCACCACTGAAATTAAACCACTTTCCATGTAATTATTTGTTCAATGATTTTCTTTCCCTTTAGACTGGAAGCTCCACAGGAGCAGGGACTCTCAGTCTTGTTTACCACTGAACCCCTTTCTCTCTCTCTTTTTTTTTTTTTTGAGGACTGTGCTTTTTATTTTTTTTAATTTTTTTTCCAAGCATTTCTTTCTTTCTTTATTTATTTTTAAATACATTTGTCTCTGCCTCCCCCCCACCACTTTCCCTTGCCCCCTCCTTCCTTCCCTCCCCCAGCTCTTCCCCTTTGGTTTTGTCCATGAGTCCTTGCTATATGTTCCTTGACTTTCCCCTTCCCTTCCCTTTCCCTGCCCGCCCCTCCCTCCTTCCCTCTTGTCTCTGTTGATTTCTTTTCCTTTCAGTGTTGCTGGTCATATTTTCCTTGCATCTTTGTATTGTTGGTTAGGTTCCGCTTATAGGTGAGATCATATGGTATTTGTCTTTCGCCCCCTGGCTTATTTCGCTTAGCATAATGCTCTCCAGTTCCATCCATGCTGTCGCGAAGTTTAGTAGTTCTTTTTTACTTTCTGCTGTGTAGTATTCCATTGTGTATATGTACCATCATTTTTTGATCCAATCATCTACTGGTGGACACTTAGGTTGCTTCCAACACTTGGCTATTGTAAATTGTGCTGCTATGAACATTGGGGTGCATAGGTTCTTTTGAATTGGCGTTTTGGTGTCCTTAGGGTATAGTCCCAGCAGGGGAATCACTGGATCAAAAGGCAGTTCCATTTTCAGCTTTTTGAGGAAACTCCACACCGCCTTCCACAGTGACTGCACCAGTCTGCATTCCCACCAACAGTGTACTAGGGTTCCCTTTTCTCCAAGCCTCATCAGCACCTGTTGTTTGTTGATCTGTTTCTGATGGCCATTTTGACCGGTGTAAGGTGGTACCTCATGGTGGTTTTGATCTGCATTTCTCTGATGGCTAGTGATGCTGAGCATCCTTTCAAATGCCTCTGGGCCCTCTGTATCTCCTCCTTGGAAAAGCATCTGCCCAGGTCCTTTGCCCATTTTTGGATTGGATCGTTTGTCTTCTTGGAGTGGAGTCGAGTGAGTTCTTTATATATCTTGGAGATCAAACCTCTATCTGATGTATCATTAGTGAATATATTTTCCCATATGGTTGGCTCCCTTTTCATTCTGCTGATGTTTTCTTTAGCCGTGCAGAAGCTTCTTATTTTGATGAGGTCCCACTTGTTTATTCTTTCCTTTATGTCCCTTGCTTTAGGAGACATATCAGTGAAAAAATTGCTGCGTGGGATATTTGAGAGTTTCCTGCCAATGTTCTGCTCTAGGACTTTGATGGTGTTGCAACTTATATTTAAGTCTTTTATCCCTCTTGAGTTTATTTTTGTGTATGGTGTCAGCTGATGATCCAATTTCAATTTTTTGCATGTAGCCGTCCAGCTCTTCCAACACCATTTGTTGAAGAGGCTATTATTGCTCCATTTTATGCTTCTGCCCCCTTTGTCAAATATTAGATGCCCCTAGAGACCTGGGCTTATTTCTGGGCTTTCTATTCTGTTCCACTGGTCTATGGGTCTTGAACCCCTTTCTCGATCTTTCACCTGCCTTGTCCCCATGGCCTAGAACAGTCCTGGAATATAGTAGGTGCTTAATAAATACAGGTTGGAGCAGTCAAGGATGAAGGATGAGTGAATGAGCTCTTTGGCCCTCTTCTCTTGGTGGTAAGCAGGACAGACAGCGTTATTCTCATGCTACAATGAGGAAAAGGCCACTGGGAGAGGGGAAGCGGCTCCCCATGATCTCCTGTAGTAGGTGGAGACACAGGACTGATGGAAGTTTTTCTGACTCGGCTTAACGTTATGATATGACACAAAGTCCTTTGATGTTTGTTGTAAAAGGGGGCTATGCAGGAGTCAGCAGTAATAATTGCAGATGACCTACAGTGTCTCACTTGTCTATCTGTCAGTACTTGAGCATTTATGAAGCACCTTCTGCATGCCTGGTGTCTTGCCAGCTGTGAGAGGAGACTAAGAAGCATGAGTTCTGGGAGCTTGTGGCCTGGTGATTGGGGACCCCCAGTAAGAGCCTCTGTGGCCAGCTTCCTCCACCACCACCTCACGCATGTCACCCCCCTCTGCCCCCTCCTTCCCTGGGCTCAGTATGGCTCCTGTGTGCAGTTTCAGGCTATCCCGCCTGTCCAGCTGGCGGGTCCACACAGGGCTGGTCAGCCACAGCGTGGTCAGGCCACACCAGGGGGCTGTGGTGGAGAAGATCATCCCCCACCCTCTCTACAGCGCCCAGAGTCATGACTACGATGTGGCCCTCCTGCGGCTCCGGACTCCGCTCACTTTCTCAGGTGAGGCACTGGCCCTGGGGGAGCAGGTCCGGGCTGTGGTGAGAGAGGAGCGGACCCTGGAGGGGCTGAGAGGGGAGCTCGCTTCTAAGGTTTCCTCCCAGTGAGGTAAACCTTAAAGTATTCTGTTCATTTGGTGACCGTGGTGAACTTCGACATTAACGGGACCTGAAGTTGCACCGACCTTCCACATGCTCTTTTGGGGGAAATGGTTCAGGCCCTTTTCGCAGCCATGCTGCAGGCAGGATTTGCTGGGAGGTCCCAAGCAGAGCTTTATAGTTGCTCCCTCTACCAACAGCCTCTCCACCCCTGCTCCCAGGCTGGTCCCAGGTCCCAACCACCTTGTGGCATGTCACAGTTAATGAGATTTCTTTTGTTTTTCTAAATATTCTTGCACTCGATCCTCATAACAACCCTAACCGGGAGATGAGGCAGGTATATACAGATGAGCACACCGAATTTAATAAGGGGATACTCTGGTTTCTCTTCAGAGCATATAAATCTTTCACCTTTTACACAATTAGTGAGGGAAGTGACTCTTCAAGTCCACGTGGCAAATGTTCCTAAGGCAGCACATGGTTCCTGAGTCTGGTATCCTGATTCCAGGCCCAGGGCTTCTCCAAAGCACCTGTCCTAGAAGGGCAATTCCTCCACATGTATGTGCATGTGCACACTCACCTAGAAACACATACACTCACAGAAACACACACACATTCATGTGCAGTGCTCACACAAGTACACACACACACTTACCCCCAGGCACACACGCTCACACCATATGCACTCATGCACACTCACACCAAACACAGTTATACCCACTCACTCCCATGCATGCATGCTCACACCATGCACACTCATGCGCACTCACTCCCATGCACATACTCACACTCATATATACTCATTCCCATATATATATACACTCACTCCAAACACGCACTCACTCCCATGCACACATACTCATACTACACACATTCGTGTGCACACACTGACAAATACTCAGCATTCCTCCCTACCGTTACTACCTGTATCCTTGGGTTTCCCAAACAACAGTCGTTGCTATATGCTTTTCACAAATGTAGGTACTCTCTGAACTGTTGTTCAACAGCTTGCATTTCCAAATTGACTTAAATACATTTGAGAGGGTACCTTTAAGTTACTACCTAATTGGAGAACTAATATTACTTACTGTAAATAGATAACCACAAAGCACACAGAGTGAAAACCAATGTTCCGGTTCTAGCTGGGCGCTGTCCTCTGCGGAACTGCTGGGCCCGGGCCTCCCTCTGTGTGTTTCAGTGGAGGCGGACAGGCACTAAGAGAGGTTCAGAGGAGCAGCACATGCACACATGCTCCCACCACACATGCTCTCCTTGATGCGGTCAGGGGACTCAGAGACACCAGAATGGGAACTACTCTCTCCCAAAGTGACCTCACATTCATGAATAGCATGTCAGTGTACTCTACGAATATGTGTGGGCTCCGCCTGTAGGACATCATGCACTTTTGGAAACAATGCCCCGAGAAGGACAAAACTCCCTGGGGAAAATCCAAAAGGGGTCCACATTAGGACAAGTTGGGTACAAACGCCCAGTAGAATTTCCGTTCTTTTTCATTGCCCAGGTGGGGGTGTGCGGTGTGTACACAGCCCAACCTAGAGGGCGCCTTGCACACTGCACTTTACACGTTGTCCTCTGTATGAGTGGTGACCCTCAAGGTGGTACAGGCTACAGCTGCACAGCTGTCAGGAGGACTGGCTGGTGGAGACCGAGAACCAGGACTGTTTGAGAAGGGAGCAAAGAGGATCTGCCAGACCTGGCCTTTGCCCAGGCTCGGGGGCAGGAGCCGAGCCTGAGTGGGGCCCAGGACCGTGCCTCTCCACAGACACTGTGGGTGCTGTGTGCCTGCCGGCTGAGGAGCAAGATTTTCCGAGGGGCTCGCAGTGCTGGGTGTCTGGCTGGGGCCACACCGACCCCAGCCACAGTGAGTCAGCTCCCAGGGCCCTGGGTGCAAAGGGGGTGTGCAGGTGGGGGGACATCCTTTCCCAGGTGAGGCACCTCCACCTACCCTGGCCACAGGGCCGTGCCAGCCCACTCTTCTTCTGGTGCCTCCCTTGGCCAGGCCAAGGACCCCCCTGCCCCTGTCTGGGTCTTTCTGAGAGAACAACCCCTGAATTTTCCCTGAACTCCCCCTGAACTCAGGCCCTTTACTTTTGCTCCCCGTGTCCCAGGAGTGCCAGGGCCTCAGTATCTGGGGTGTCTGTGTGAGTGAGTTCGACTCCTCCTCTTCACTCCCAGCCCCCAAGTCTGACAGACCCTTGCCTCCTTTCCCAGGGTCCACAGCTCCTACCCTGGCCTCCCCTCTTTGGGACTCTGCTCTGAGGCTTCTAACCACCTCTTCTCTTGCTGTTCTGTCTTCCTGGGCCTTGCTTTGTGCTCTGTGGCATTGTTCTGTGTCCCTTCATCTCCACGTCTGCCTCTCGCAGCCCACAGCTCGGACACGCTGCAGGACACGGTGGTGCCACTGCTTAGCACCCAGCTCTGCAACAGCTCTTGCATGTACAGTGGGGCTCTCACCCCCCGCATGCTATGTGCCGGCTACCTGGACGGGAGGGCTGATGCCTGCCAGGTGTGGCAGCAAGGGGGCCAAGGTGGAGGGTGGGGGCAGGCGTCCTGCTCTGGCTTGGCCCTTGGTCTGAGCAGCCTCTCTAGGAGGGCTCAGATAAGACAGGATCCATGCTGGGAGCAGGAGCAGCCAGAATGGGGAACCTGCTCCTCGGGAAGGTCCGGTGCCCCTCCTTCTGAAAGGACTAATTGAGTGTTTCTCTCGTCTCTGTGCCTGCACCCCTCAGGGGGATAGTGGGGGCCCCCTCGTGTGCCCAGACGGAGGCATGTGGCGCCTTGTGGGGGTGGTCAGCTGGGGCCGAGGCTGCGCAGAGCCCAAGCACCCCGGCGTCTACGCCAACGTTGCTGAGTTTTTGGACTGGATCCACGACACGGCACGGGTGAGTGTGGGGGCTAGAGTGGGGAGGGGAGGTTTGTAAAGGACCTTTCCCTCAGAAACTGTGACCCTTACGCCTGAGGCCCGGGCCTGGCTGGGGGCTGGGGAGGGGCTAGGGAATGCTCTCCAGAGTAAGAGGAAACAGAAATGATGCATATAATGTTGAATCCCTTGGATTTCTATCCATTTAAGCATTGACTGGGGAAGATTGGACCTCAGTTTGTATTGTAGTCCAGATCTGCCATTTACTGTGTGACCTTTGGCAAGTTCCTAACTTGATAAATCTCAGTTGCCCAGTAATAACCATCATGGCTGCCTTCCATGCTATCGTGGCAGCTAAATGAGATAAGACCTGAACAAGGCCTGTGCAGTGCCAGGTTAGAGTGAGTGATCCTTGTGTTATTTATGGATGTATTTATGACCATCACTAGCCCCTGGTTTCTAAGGCAGTCACTAGTGCCTGCATTCCCGACCCTGCAGAGAGAGCTCAGCATTTAGGAATTTGGGTTTGGCAACTTATTAATTCTTGTATGACACTGGGAAAGTCACTCCACTTCCTCTGTCCAGTGGTAGGGCCAAGTGAGATAATATATACAAACCACATTATTTGTATCCAGTACTTTACAAATAAATGCAGGGTGTGAAAAGGGAAAGCATCTTTCTGCGAGGCTGGGCATGGGAGAGGGGGATGGGATTCCAGGGGACATAGGCATCCACCTTCCCATTCACACCTTACAAAAGACCAAGAGAAATGAGTATTTTTAGTCCCATTTGATAGAAGTAGAAATGAACATTGTGAATGGTTAAATAATTTACGAAGATGAAGGTTACTTGTTTAGTGCATGGTGGAGTCACACTGAGGACCAGCTACTTTCTCTGTTAGCTCCAGAACTCCCTCTGCTAGTCCTGCTGATGCCTCCTTCTCACTGCATAGCAGCTTCATGTTTCCTGGGGTCTCTGGCAGGTCCCTTAGATGGAGGAGGAGCAGCAGACCCCGACACAGAAGGCATGGATTTCCCAACACTGCACTGGAGACAGTTACCACCCACCGGCCAGCGTCCGTCTGGGCTCTACAGCCTCCCCCTTGGTCCCTGATTTCTGGAGTCTCTATCTCACCAGAGAGCTCTGATGATAAGAAGGGGGTTGGGCAGGGTTAGGACCCTGGGGGAGCCTAGGGATGTGGGGGAGGAGCTGGAGAGAAAGAGGCTGTTGGAAGCAGCTGGAGGCTGCCTCTGCCCTCTCCACTTCCCAGCCCCTGAGCCCATTTTCTGGGAGGATGCTCAGGGATACTCTGGGCCTGCTTCCTTTCTGTGCTCTCAGGGAGGGTGGGGGTGGGGGGAGTGCCTCCCTAGAGGAGCCCCTGGCTCTGGAGGCTCCTGGGAAGATGGGGTCAACGTTGGGCCAGCCTGGATGAAGCCCATGGAGTTAGCGCCCCCCCACCATGGATGGTCTCACCTACTTCATGTTCTTAGCTGGCTCTGGCTGGCCCTGCCGGCATAGGGGTGGGAGTCGGGCCAATGTAAGAGCACTGTGGTTGGTGCTGGAATAGGGTGTTAGTTTTAAATGACAGTTCTGTGAACTGGTCCAAGGAGTTCTTTTATTAAAGCAAAGCGATGTATGGTCATGGTCCAGTTTCTCTCTCTCTCTATTTCACACACATACACATTCACAATAAGGGGTAGAATTACAATTTTCCTTTCATGTTGTGCATGTTTCTTAAAGCTGTGGAACTGACTCCTGGCATGTGCTTATTTGTTTAATTCGTTACATTTATTAAATCTGCATGTCATGATCTGCAACAAAAAGCCCCAGCTGCCTAGGTGCTAAGATGCTGCCAGGCAGGGAAACACAAGTCAATGCTCTCTTAGAGAGATCTGGCTTCCCCACAAGACCCATCTGTCCTTCTTAGGTCTTAGCTCTTGTTTCAGAACTGAGCCTTCAGGCTTGAGGAGATTTCTCTCTGAGGTTATACTCAGCATTTTCCCGGTTAAGCTTCTCCAACTCTCTCCTCTCTAGCAATTGAAATACAACTGGCATCTTTTTTCTAAAAACTGCGATGAATTTTTTTGGTGCTACCCAAGGAAATGCAATTAGCATTTAGCAATAACACAACTTTTGATGAGTTTATCAGCATTTTTGTAAAGGGTTAGTGGAAATGGATATTCATTCCTGGAAGGTCTGCTTCCTTTGCTCCGTGCACTAAAAACTAAGGGCCTCTATTTACTGTTGCTTTGTTACCTGGGAAAGAGGCTGCCAGGAGTCTGCTGTCACTTTTCAGAAGCAGCATAGGAGGGGCCCTGGCCACCGACAAACAGCCTCAGCCTGTGTTCATGAAGCCAGGCCTCCAGCCTCACGCTGAGGTCAGCATTTCCTCTCCGCCTTGGAAGTGCCCACATCAGAAGGCTGTTCGGGGCAGCTGATACCCCTGGGCAGGGACGAGTCACCAGCAGATCCATCAGCTATGATCGTTTTACTGTTTCTGATGTCGCCCATAAGCATTTGCTTATTTAAGGGGAGGTTTTTATTTATTGCAATCATTATGACATGTTAATATTAGTAATATTTGAATACTGCTTTATAGTCTATCAACCCTGCTCATATGTGGTATCTCACTTAACTCTCACAACATCTACATGGTGAATGTATTATTATTGTGCTTGTTTTATAGGCAGTAAAATTAGTTCAGAAAGATTAAGTGATTTTCCAAGAACAGCCAGCTAGTAAGTACCAGAACCTGAATGTGAACCCTAGCTAGGTCTTTTTACATCACTGTTTTGCGCATGGATTAATGAGATGGTCCAATATTGCACCAAAGTATAGAATTGGAAGGAACTTTATCACCTGGCTTAGTCACCTGCCTAGTAGAATACTTTTTAAAGGTGAGGTAACCAAAATCTGGGAAATTAGTGGCTTCTATCAGAGACCCTTAGGTAATGTTCTTACAGAGTTCCAGTTTTCCATGAGATTCATGGTCTGACTTAAATGTTACAAATGAGCATCTTTCAAAGGAGGATGATAAAGAGCACCCTAATTAGGGAATTTGCTAATAGCAATTCCTTGTTTACCTATAGGAACCTCGGCCTAGAGGGCAGTCAGATCTACAGACTCAGAGGTCTGAGCTGCTCTTCCTTTGTTGGCATCTGCCTATCCAGCCTCCAGGAAAGTGAGAAGGCAGCGCATTCCTGGGCTGGCTGCTCACATGCAGGGATGGAGTTGAGGGCAAAAAAAGGTGGAAATATTCAGGTTCAGGTTTTTAATGAGGACCAGTTGGGTGTCCAGCTGTGTTAAGGTCTGTGGGGAATTCAGAGGTAGAGAAACCAACCATCTTATTGGAGCAAAGAGACTTACTTGCAATAAATTATTAGTGGCCAGCCAGGCGGGAAGCTGTGAGGTGAGGCAGTAATTGCTACGGGAGCCCCAAGGGCCCGTTGTTGAGTAAGCCTGGGCATTCCTGTGTGCAGGAAAACTGCTCCCCTCCCAGAGGATTCAGCATCTCCCCTGCTTGGGCAGAGCCTGCGAGCTTCCTGGGACTGTCCAGGAAGCTGGCTCCTGGCTGCCCTGCCCGGGGTGCAGCCTTCTCTCCTTCGTGCCTGTGGGGGCTGGAGGAGGCGGTGCGGTGCAGCCTCTCTCTGTCAGACCTTCATGTCGTCCTGCTTTTCCTAGAGGGGCCGCTTCAAACAAGGGGGCAGCCCTGTCATTCCTCCAGAATGTTTCTCACTGTCTTTTCTGCATTTTATTTTTGAAAGTGCTGGGCTCACCCACAGTAGGACACAACTAGAAATGCTATGAATGCTAAAAGCTGGTATAATAGCTATTGGTAGGTAGTTTTCCCGAGTCCCTCCATTATTTTTTCTCTCCTTCTCCTCTGCCCTCTCCTGGCCCTACACTGGGGGCCCTCCTGACCACTCACCGAGGAAGCACCTGTACCCTCTCCACCCTGCAGCCTCCCTCTGCATCCTGGGACTGGATCCCCCCCCCCCCCCCGCCCCCCACCTCACTACTCAGACACACCAGGATGTGTCTGCATTTGCCTCACCCTTGGGCCTCTGCTTCCTGTTAAGCTGTTGGAGCCCATCGGGACTCTGTAAACTGCATCTTAACTCTAGGAAGGTTTCTGGTGCATAGGTGGGAAATAGCCTCCTACTCCTGAGGGTGAGGCTGGGCTTTCTTACACATTCCAAGGCTGGGAAAGGGAGAGGCGGAGCGGGAAGGCACCAGTTCCCACATTTCCAGCGCCCAGAGGCCCCAGGGCAGAGTAGTCCAGGGGGATCTGCTGGAAGGTTTCACCTAGAGCTGGTGCTGGAGGGACCAAGCTGACACTCACACAGGATAGAGAGAGGAGTCCTGGCCCCAGAGGGTGGGAGGTGGCCTCCAGAAGGGCAGGGCTTTCACAGGCCGGGCTGGGCTCCTGAGCTCCCTCCCTTCCAAGGATCCTCTGTCTGTAGCATCTGATGGTAGAGTCTCATCTGGGGCTCAAACGACTTGTGAATGTGCTGCCCTGAACTACTGACTGAGCCTCCCTGGAATTTGGTTTCCCATCTGTCTAATAAGGAGTCTGGGGCCAGGAGTCTGCCTTGTCAGAACAGTTTAACCCAAACCTCCGTTGCCTCTGGAGATACCTATCCGCCCACCACATCCAGCTGGGACCCCCAGGGAGGGTGGGAGGAGGAGCTCCAGGCAAAAGATTTTAAAACCATTTCCCCTGTGTTCCTCTGCCCAATGTTTGTGCCCTGGAGAAGGGTTCGGGGACAAGTCAAACCCTTGACCTGACACTGTGCTCAGGTGCTCCAGAGCTTCTTCCCGACACCCCAGGCTCTGTGTGGGGCTTTGTGGGCCTTAGCCTCCTAAAACCAGTGCGGGAATTTCCTCCCTACTTCCTCTGTGAAGGCCATGACACTCTCCTTTTGACTATGTTCCCTGCACAGCTCATAAGCTGGCCCCGTGACCCCTCTGCTTGCCAGCGTTTCCCCACGCATGAGGCAGAATTGTGAGCGAAGTGTCGGCTAGCAGAACCATTAACAGGCAGCTCGTCCCGGGCCATGTGCCATGCTCAGGGAGGGAAGATCCTCTCCCATGGCCCCTTAGGTGACGCTGCCTTCTCTGTTTGCCCAGAACTGTCGAGGTTTTAACACAGAAGACCCTGTGTCCTGGGACAGTGCGTCATGCTACGTCCATTGTCTTTCTTCTGTATAAAAGGAGCTCTGCAAAACCCAGTGGCCATTGGCCTTCCCCAGCCCTCCTTCAGTCTGATTTGGCTTATGGGAAGCCTTCCTGGTGGCCAGTTGGAGGAGGAGGAGGTTCCTGGGAATTCCAAGGTTGGAATGGTTCTGCAGATGCTGCTACCTTAGCAGAGCTGCCTTGGCCCTGAGGCCAACAGAGCGAGAATCCCTCCTTTCCCATGGTGGCTCTTTACATGGCAGCCAGGGCTGGCGCACCTGACCTTGCCTAATGTTTTGAGCAAGCTGCTTTAGCCCTCCCAGGACCAGAAGCTCTCCTGAAACTGGGGGAAGGCTACTAGGTGGGTGAGGCAGATGTAGTGCTCCTCCCTGAATATTGATTTCCCAGTTCCCCAGGTCTCACTGATTTCTGGTCCCCAGAGCCTGAACCCACTCAGGACAAGGAGAAGGGGCTGCTGTCCCCATGGAGCTGGGTGGGTCTCTTCTCCAGGCCTCTGCCTTGGAGGGGATCAGAGAGGATCACAAAAGAGACAGCCAGACTGCTAGAGCCCACAAGGATTTTGTGGGGCTTGTTTTTCCTCAGCACTCTCTGCAGAGGAGAAGGTGTGAATAAAGGCATGAGGAAGATTTACTGTTTCCACCACTTGCAGCAACCTTGTGTTTGTACAGCAGATCGGGAGAGGAGGGGGAGAGCAGGTGGAGGCAATGCTGGGACTCACAGAGAAAGGCAGAGCCTGGACAAGCTTTCTGCAAGGACCCCGGAGTTAGCCTGGGAAGGTATATTTCGGCCAGCTCTCCAACCACCAGGGACCAGTGTGTCCCCTCCATTCTCCTACCTTCCCCCTGCATAAGCCGTTATTAGCAGGCAGCTTGGGACCAAGAATCTCTATACCCAGAGGGATGTGATAGGCCTGGCAGGGTATGCTGCCAATGAGTCTCTGAAAAGAGAGGG